TTATACAGAGGTGTGCAAGTACGTGAAAGAATCAAGAGAGAAAATAGAGGTGGTGGAAAGAGGGAGATCAGTAAGATACAGAGTAGTAGGAGGAGAGTTGAGAGAGATGTACGATCCATACATCGTCACCTTCACATTTCTTCCAGTTGCAGGCAAAGAAACAGAAGAGTGTATTGCAGAATGGAAAGCTGAGTTTCAACCACTCACTCCAACTACTCCGCCACCACACCAAGCCAGAGATGCTGCACTCAGATTCTTGAAGTGTTTCGAAAACTTTTGACTCAATAACTCATCATAGAATTATGACCCTCGACCATATATATATATATATATACATATATGTATATTGGAATTGTTTCTGTTTCTCTGTCTAATAAATCAGCAGTAACGCAATACTTCCTATATATATATATATATTTATATATAGACCAACTAATGGATTTGTGGGTGTACTTTATAAGATCTTTTCTGTGTAAGTTCATCAAGATCATGGTTAAATTGTATGTGTGTGTCTTTGTATATATTTATATCAAGGAGTTGAGGTATTGGTGTTTATATGTATACATTAGACTTAAAAGATTCGAACATGAAACGTTATTGTAGTTTCTGAGTTGAAATTGTATTATTCCATCTATGAAAGCATCAATAGTCCCTCGGTTGAATGTTTGGCATTTCCACCTTTATCTACCAAGGTGAAAGTTTCAAGTCAAATTGTAACGATTTTGGAAATTTAAAAAGAAAATGTATATAAAAAATATAAGTGCGGAAGCGAAATAAAAGGTTCTGATTAATATCCTTTATACAATAATTTAAACGTATTAACAATACTGAAAATAAATTCTCTAAAGAAAAATGCTGAAAATGAAAGAATATAAAAGAAATTAATAAACATTTAGGTATCTACTAGCCGTCTTCTTGTGGATCGGGCTCGGAAAATAAGTTATCCTGATCTGAAATGGTTAAGTAAAGAATGAGGTACATTAGTTCAGTAAAGACATCACACTATATCATTGTCACATAAGTAAAGGTTGATAGAAAATCAAAAATAACCAATTGAGCAAAAATTTTGAATAAATCCTTTTATTAATAATCAAACTATTTATCGTCCACTTACCTCAGTGAGATTTATAAAAACGACCAATGTAAACAATAACATCATAAATATCATGAATTCATACATAATTTGTATCATAGTATATGTCATACTTTTATATTTTGATAATCAAACAACAGTTATCCCCTTTTCATAAGCCTACTAGTATCTGTGGTGATCCATATGGGTCCCCGCTACACGTGAACCATTCCTTTAACAAACTTAGTTTCCAGGGTCGTCCCCATACCCCGTCCGGTATGGGCGCCAAATAATAAATCTCAATATCTCGTCCGGTATGAGGTGAAGCGGGTCTCCCCATACCCCGTCCGGTATGAG